AACAAACCACAAGACTTCTGGAACAATGTCCTTTGGACAGTGACCAAAGTGGAGATGTTTGACCACAATACACAGGATCTTGTTTAGAGAAAACCAAACACAAACATCTCATACCAACTGTGCAGTGGTGGAGGGGTGATGATTTAGGTTTATTTTGCAGCCAGGGGACCTGGGCAGCTTGCAGTTACTGAGTCGACCATGAACACCTAAGACAGCCAACACTTTGCCAAATTGGGTCATGCAACTGGACAATGATCCAAATCACAGCAGGAAATCAACAACAAAATGGCTGAAAAGCAAACGAATCGAGTTGTTCCAATGGTGCAGTCAAAGTCTAGACCTCAACCTGAATGAAATGTGTGGTTTAAGAGAGCTTTGCATAAACAAATGGTTGCAAATCTCAATGAACTGTTAAGAAGAGTGGGCCAAAATTCCTTCGTAATGATCTGAGAGACTGAGAAAGTCAGACAGAAATTGATCGCTTCAAGTTATTGCTGCCTAACTTGGATCAATAAGCTACTGAATCATTGGTAGACTTCACATCCCTGTAGTTCCTGGGATGGTCATGAGTTAGTCTTTGGTGACTCCCATCTTTTAATGCCCAGCTTTAACCTGCGTCCACACGAGAAGCAAAGCACTCATTTTGCATCACATCGTAGCTGGTGATTGGATGACATTCCAGGCTCTGGTTGCCTAGGTAACTTTACTGTCAGATGTTAATCAACAGTATCCTTCCCTTTCATTGGTAGTTCAACCCATCACTCGCCTGGAAATTGAAAAAGGTTCATCTCGTCACCACACTGCTTCTTGTGCTGACTCAGATTTTGAGCAGAAATAAGAATGTTTATTAGATTATTTCCCCTTTTGTGACGGCTGTCCAAAGTGTGAATTTGTGTATAACTCACCTGTTAGCACAGTATTAAGGCTTGGAGTTAAGCCTCAGCCAGATGCTGACACAGACACTAGATGCAGGTCTCTTCCTGTTTAAAGGGAGCTCGTTCTCCCCATTGGTGCCAAGTGCTTGCTCATAGGGGATCATCTGTGCATTAGATGAGTTCTCTGTCTAATACACATTATAAGGCACTGTTGAAACAGCTGTTGTTGCAAACTGGTGCTATATAAATGAAATTGAACTGAACTGAATAGCTGCCAGGCTTCACCTCAGCTAACATGAATTTCTGAACTCGACTGTGTTGGCGCATTTTGGAGCATTTTTTGATGCAATTAACTGACAAAGAGACAAAGAGAGTGTCCAACAAGCCTCTCCTCCGGTTTCGGTGAATATTTTATTTGTATTATACGTTGTATTATATAGGAATGCCAGAACTGTACTGTTTTAAATCTATTTCAAGCAATCTAAGAATTTTTTTTAGGAATTTTTGATCTTTATTAGCATCCTCTTGTTTGTTTCCGTAAGGTCCTAATATGAAAAACCAAACAAAAGAACAAACTAAAGTTTCACAATGAAATAAAAGCTTATAAGGAACAAATAAAGGAAGGAACACAGCATGACAAGTAAACAAATGTTTTAATATTGCACCACTCTTATAGATCGAGGTCCCAACTCCAGGCCTTGAGGGGCGGTGTCCTGCAGTTTTTAGATGTGTCCATGATCCAACACAGCTCATTCAAATGGCTAAATTACCTCCTCATCATGTCTTGTCATTCTCCAGAGGCCTGGTAATGAACTAATCATTTGATTCAGGTGTGTAGGCCCAGGGTGAGCTCTAAAACCTGCAGGACACCGGCCCTTGAGGCCTGGAGTTGGGAACCCCTGTTATAGATGCTTGAAGCTCGCTGCGACATTGGTGAGTATCACATTAACAATCCAGTCCCTCAGCTGTCCTGCTATGTGGCCCCAGTGAAGTCATTCCTTGTCTGAATGAGAGCGACAAACACACTTGTTCCCCTCTTGCCACATGCCCTCTGCACTAACTTGGACCTGAGGTAAATATTTGCAGGGCGAGTTGCTCCACTCTGCTCATCCACATCCACACGCTGTGCCGATGGACCCATGATACAGTCGGTTTGCACAGGGTTCAAAGGTTAGTCCACGCATGGCCAGTGTTTGCTTGCTGGCATGCTGCTGCTGCTGTTTGTACTTTTATTGAACTCTGTGTGTGTTTGTGTGATATAAATGTGTCACTAGCAATGCCTAATGTGCAACATGAAACTAAAGGGGAGTTTTACGCATCCGAACACATTCAGTCAGTGACATAAAGGAGAGCAAATCCACATTATATAAGGAAGTTTTTCCACATTCCACACCACACATTAAGTCATAAAACAGCACAACATGCTCACAACTATTCAAGTAAAAGATTCCTCTGACGTCATGCAGAGAGGGAAAAAGCAGCTCAAACAGGAGAATGTTGTGCCGTGACCCCGTATGAAAGGCACATGTTGTTTGGCGCCAGAAAGTTTAAAAAAGAACTGAAATGTAGCAGGAATTTAGGCAGTACTATGTGCTAAAGAGAAGTGGAAATGAACAACCGGGCCAGAGACCCCTGGCAACCACCTGTCACTAGTATAAAATGTGTATTTCCAAGGCAAAAACCTTCCTCAATGCAAGCGTCTACAAACATTTTAAAGGTACTCTCTGAGCTGCAGCGAAACCAGGAAGAGTGATGCAAATAGTAAATAGAGACATTCCCCTTCAAAGTAAAAGTTGTGCCTTTTCAAAAATGTGGACTGCAGTGCTGAGGAACAACTTCTACTTCAAAAGTAAACTGTCTTAATTTCCAGTTTGTATTGCGCTTTTTCACGTTTTGCTATTGCTCAGCTAGTAGTTAGCAAGTATTTATGAGAAAATACTGGCTATGTATTGTTGTTGTTGTTGTTGTTGTTGTTGTTAAGCATTTAAAATATTAATAATATAATACGTTAGGTTTTATGTTCCTGCCAAATTCAGGTTACTCATGTTGGTTTGCTTGTGACAGTTTTTAATAGTATTAGCTAACTTCTTTGCTAATGCTAACTGAAGGATTGGTCAGTTGTGATGTTGCACCTGGGTTGTATCATGTCCAATGATACAACCCAGGTTATATAGCACCAATTCACAACAACAGCCACCTCAAGGCGCTTTGTACTGTAAGGTAAAGACCCTCTTTGAAGATGAACTTGGCAACAGCGGGAAGAAAAAACTCATTTTTAACAGGAAGACACATCCAGCAGTACCTGGCTCAGTGAATGCAGCCATATGCCATGACTGGTTGGGGGTGAGGGGAGCAAGACATGATGTGGAAGCACAGTGCACAAAGCTCAATATGACTATGTAAGGTTAAATAATATCACATGCAGTGAAAACTATTGGGTTAGATATGGATGTCAAACAATGTATCTGCAACTTTTGAAAATTAGACTACCCCACACGCACTCGTCCAGCACATGTTCATGACAATCCATTGATACTTGTTGAGATACTTCAGTCTGGACCAACACGAGGGTCACACTGACACTGCCAAAAGCTGTGTCACTAGCAATGCCTAATGTGTAACATGGGGCGAACCCGACATAGTCGCTACATAATGAGTCATCATGAAGGACCGTGGACCGTTTATCCCTGCTGAGCTACCTGTAAAATGTTTTTGGTGGGACATGCCAATGTGTGCAGTCGTTATCTACTCTGACCTCAACAAGGGAGTGAGAGTTGGGTGATTAATGCGCGTTTCGCTGCGTAGGATGGACTGTGTGAGGAATGACAAATACCTCACGTTTCACAAGCTTGGACAGAAACCGATAGATCCACAAAACTCCTAAAACATTAATATATCATGGCTGTATCTAGAAGACAATGAGACTCCTCAAATCAAAGTGATCTACGCCCCAGAGTTCATTAGAAGTTCATTCAGACTTTGGAACCAGTTAAAGAACCAGTGTTAAAAAGAAGTCCTCATGTATTGATTAGGTTTTTATATATTTATACGGGGAGTAAATAAAAAGCACAATAAAACATACCAAAGTGAAAGATCACTTTAGGTTTATTATAGCTGAATGCAGCTGCCACCATGCCTGAACTGCCACTAATCAAGTGCTACGTTTCCACTGACTTTTCACATCTCTGACCTTTACTCTGATCCATCTTAGACTGTACACCTGTTGCCAAATTACAGATGGCTCACAGGCTGTCACCACTTCACTCCTAAATATTTCATCAGGTCCTGCTGTCCTCCTTGCACTCTTCTTTGGCCCATACATCACACGCTCTGTGGGATCATCGCTGCCGCCTGCTTACCTGTACAAGCCTTTCCTGAGCGAACCTGGTTACCAGTGGTTACTTTTCTCAGGTTATTCCGAAATTATTGTGCACAGAGTTTTTAAAAATCAGGTAAAGCTGCACCTTATAGTTGGATAAATACAATCACCAGTTGTTTTATTAGGTACACCTTACAAGTGCTGGGTTGGACCCTCTTTTTCCTTCAGAGCCCTCATTCTGGTCCATGTAGACACGATAGCATCACACAGTTGCTGTAGATTTGTCGGCTACACATCCATGACGATCCATCTTCCCGATTCTCACTTTCAAGTTCAGTCTTGACCACGTATAAATGCTTAAAAGCACGAAATTACTGCCATGTGATTGTCTGACTAATTATCTGGGTTGACAAGGTGAATAGGTGTACCTAATAAAGTGTTAGTATAGTTGACTATGTTGAGAACATCTGAATCCAAACAGACAGCTTCACCTCTTCATGGAACGCTTTGAGTCCAAGTCGCTCATCCTTCTGTGAATAATGAAACCATTTATCCTGTTATGACGGCTTTGGCTTCGACATCCAGGGTTTGCAGATCATTTGTCTTCCACACAAAGATTCAGATGTTCCGAGAAAATGAACCAACACCAGTGTAAAACAATGATTTGATATTTTATTAAAAAGTAAAGACAACTTGCTTGTCAAAGCTAGCCCATTTTTTGTTTTTTAAAATCACAAAGTTTACAGACGGACGGCAGTGATGTCAGCCTCATCAGCTCAGCACAAATCAAACAGGGAGAACTACGGTCTTCATCCATAGCCTTTATTGGAAATTCTTTACAAGTGAATCCTCAGAACTTGCCCAAACCCAGCTTTTAGAGACTATAAATATATATAAAAAAGGAGGTGTAAAAGGATTTTGCAGTTGCTCCAAGTACAAAGAAAGCATTTACAGCCAGATCTCATTCTGAGAAGGGCAGTTTGCTCGTTTGTTGACATGTCAATTTTTACAAACATTGTTGACAGCTGTTAATCGTGTCGGGAAGCTGAATTTAAACAAAAACAATACGGGGCGAAAACAATCAGTGGCCGAAAGAAAACAGGAAAGTTTCGATGGTAACAGCACTAGAAATAACACGGGCGAACGGCACACCACAGTACAGACAAAAGAGGGCGACCCAGCCACTGCCACATCAGTATACAGGTAATATATACACACACACACATTTGATGGCAGGCAACCAAATAACTACACATGGTTTTCTGCACACTAAGAGCTAAAATATCCCAGCACTATGAAGCTCCCCTGCAGTGACAGGCAGGTGGTACAAGAGTACAGCTAACAGCACTGCCGCTGAAGTACTTGGAAAATGCTGGCACCAGAGTAATAAAAGTGCAGGTATAGAGCGCCACCTGGTGACCACACCAGGAGATGTGCTAGAAAACCTTTGATTTACCTTTAAAGAGCTGCTTTACCCCAAGTCTGAGCTACTAATCTAATTGAGCTGAACCACAGCGCTCACTGTGTCACAAAACGTAAAAAGGGAAGATTTCTGCTGTTGACTATGCGAGAAGTAAAAGAACTCGTGGCACGTTCTGAAGAGAGCCCCGTTTTAAAACCTTGCAAATTCCTGGGTACTATTTATTATTTACAAATAACCAAATAAAAAGTGCAAAAATTATCAAAGGTTAAAAAAAAATGCCCATTTGTCTTAACAAACATCACATCTGCTGCTTTTAAACACTGTTTACAAATGTTTATGCACATAATTTCAAATATAGTATGGTCCTGCAGCTGCTGGCATATTAAGTGTACTTTACACAGGAGGAGTGCAAACTGACGGATCATTTGAGGTACCTTTAAAGTGGCAGGGCACTACAGAGGGGGGAAAGGTTGAACAGCTCTACAAGCCGACAAAGAGGGGGAGACTCAGAGTCCGTCCCTGATAACATCTTGGCACCAAAAGCTGGGATGAAGCTTTTTTTTGTTTGTTTTAAACCAGTGAAGTGATTGGACTACAAAGCCCCTTTCAGACACAAGCTCCTTTCCTTCTAATGGCTTCACATCACACATTTCACGTTTTCTTTCTTGTGATTGATAAATTAGCCGAACGTGTGGCTTCACCGCGAGATCTCAAGGCTTCTTAATAAGGATTTCGCAAACCAGTGGTCACCATCATGGTAGCTACATCCAACTTCTAAACAGTTTGTGGTTTCTAAAAATGTCCCGGGGCTCTGTGAAGCCTGAAAATTGACTCAGTGCTGTCACTAACAAGATTGAGGAAGCTGAGAATCTTGTGTCTGAAAAGGAATTTTGATTTGCAGTCTCAGCCCAGCTTTGAATGAAAGATTTAAACCTGGACTAGGAGGGAAAATATATATATATTTATGTATGCATATGCTAAATCTAGTAAAATCCTATGGTGTTTATCTATGAACATGGAATTAACCAAAGATTGTAAGCAAGATGCTTCACAGAAAGAGCAATTTACAAGTGACGGCTATCAGCAAACTCCTAGATTGTTTGTAGACACACCAACACGATCTGTTACAGTCAGCGACTCGTCACAGATGCTTGGGGGGGCAGAGAGCTAGCTGGACTCATTCCTGAAGCACACCAGTAAAGCCATGTCTCAACTAAGTGCGAAGACAAGTCCCTCTGATTACACTGTACTCACGTTTGGAGAGGACACAAAGCAGTTCACAACATTTAAGTCAAATTACACTTGTGTGTGAGGTTGTCGACTTTAAATCAAAGAGTCTTAAGAGCTATGAGGACCTCTTGATTATCTCAAATGTCTCATTTTTCTTGGTTTGGAAAAAAACAAACAAACAAAACATCACCAATATTAAACATGTTACAAATATATATCAGTTTTCTTCTCTTGTTTTTCCAAAATATGAGCATAGACTTATTAACACAAAAAAAAAGTCCTTCTGAGGATTAGGTCCCGCTGGCTGTGTGAGGAGGAGATGAGGCGCTCGTGGTCATCGTTCTGAGGAGCGGGACAGAAATTTTTAAAGCAAAGAGAGATGACAGAAAACAAACAGCACCCTGGATTTCACGAGCGTTTCTGTCTCTTGGAATGTCGCTGCTGGTTTGACCGGTCCTCGTCGCTGCTCGCTGCCTCGTTGTCGCCCCGGCCCCTGCGCTTACGAGTTCTTCGTGTTTCCCGCTCGCCGTCGCTATCCTGCTCTCTGTAATCCTTCCTGCCCGAGGTGGCAGAGGTTCTCTTACTTCTCCTCCTGCCATCGTCATCATCATAATCATCATCATCATCCTCCTCCTCATCTCCATCCACCTCATCATCCTCTTCCTCCTCCTCACTCTCGCTGTCGTCATCCTTCTGTCTTCGATCATTTCTGGTTGTTTTCCTCGCATGAGATTTTCCATTTGTCATCTTCTTCTTGGGCTCTTCTTCCTCTTCCTCATCTTCTTCCTCCTCCTCCTCCTCCGATGTTGCAGGAGCTTGGTAGACACGCTTGCGGGAACGCCGCCGGATGTAGCTGAGACCAGGCAGCAGCTTCTGGAGCAGCTCGGTGAATGTCTGCTCCGTCTTGACCATACAGGAGAGCACGGTGCTGCCCTGCTGGTTGTACTCCTCGGCATTGGAGAAGACCAGCTTTACATCTTCCAGGAAATCCTGGGCGTGGCGGTACGAGCCCTGGCTGAACTTGCCCAGCATTGTCTGATAATCCATGGGCTGAGAGATGATATCTAGGTAGTCCTCTGCCTCTTCAGAGGAAACAGGCTCCCTGAAAGAGGATTTAAAGCATATGATGAGTGTTAGACTGGAGACCTGGGACCATAATGTGTCGCATGTTTTATAAAAGTCGAGAAACATACATAAGGCATATTAAATATAAACGTTTAAATCCTGTTAGACATTTATTGGAGGCAGAGACACAAATCCCTTTGGGGTTGCGTCATGAGGGAGATCCAGCATCAAACATGCAGACCTACCCATTGTGGTGATCCCTTCTGAAAAAGGGAGTCACATGAGTCAGAGTGGTGAATGTGACCACCAGCTACCTTGTCTCTTCAACATGTCTGAGCAGCTCCCTGAAGACCATCCAGCATGTTTAGTACAGTAGTTATTATCACGATCATAAACTCTCAGAGGAGCAGTTCAGCCCCGCACCTTTCTCTCTCACAAATCTCTACTGCTGCCAGGATTAGCAGCTAATAACCAGCCATACAACCCACACCATTGCTCTGTGTAAAATAACTTGCAGAGGTCAGCGCTCGATCTAGAAGGAAATAGTGCCCAAGAGGCTCTGGGCTTTGCAGTTTTCACACCGTTTCTGCCGAGAGAAAACCATTTACAAAATGTGACTCAGTCTGATAAGCTTGTAATATTTCTGTGGCACACAGGTTTTTGAATGCACAAGTAGTTTCCATAGACAAATGCTTTCCACGCTGATGGAAGCATAAATACAAAAGTACTGGTCCACCTGCACATTGAGCAGTGCACCTAGGTGCCATGGAAACCATGCCACGAAGCTCCCAGCACACAACGTTTGTGCTGATGTTAATGCCAGAGCAGGTTTGAACTCTGCAGAAACTGACTCAGTGGTCTGCAACTGAGTTTCTCCTAAACACTCAAGATGACACCAGTAACAGCTGCAAGTACAAGGAGTCAAGAAACTTCACAAACCACCTTGATGCAGTGGTGACATCCTATCATAATACCACACTTACATTCAGTGAGCTCTTTAGAACAACCCACTCTTAAATGTCTGTAGAGGCAAACAGCATCAGGCTAGGTGCCTGATTTTACACACCTGTGGCCACCAGGCTCAAAACAGCTACATTCAAAGAGTAAGAGGTGTGGCCCAACACTTCTGTCCCTATAATATCTGTAGTTTGGCTAATAGTTGAAAAGGTTGTTCAGGAGTCAAAGTGGCTCCTGTTTCACATGTACTTGTGTCACATTTCTTCTTCCCTCACCTGAAAGGCCAGCTGTAGCGATATTTCATCAGCTTCTTGAGGATTTCCTCACACCTCTCCAGCTCCAGCACCTGTCTGCTCACTCCTGTCTGGGAGCTCTGTCGCACCTGCAGAGACGGCACACACAAAAGCTATAATTTTAGGACAAACGATACAAAGCTGGTCTGTTCTAAGCTCTCTGTAAACTTTGTACCAGTTCGTCGATGTCTGCAGGACTGTTGGGGCCTGTTCTCTGCTTGCCGCTCTGATTACTAGAAGAGGCCGACTTCTTTGATTTACTTTTTGAGCTTTTCTGCCGTGATGAAGACTGCTTATTTTTCTTTCTTGGTCTCACTGTGGAGGAGGAAAGACACAGAGAAGAAGCAGAAGTACAAATTAACATGTATAATGCTGCAGTTTCTCTCATGAAATCAATCCACATCCAACTGTTCAATTCTTGGCATTTTAAGAGGTGGCTCGAAACATTCCCAGGCCACCATGATTTGAACGTTCGCCTGTCTGAGCCTCACGCTTGAATTGAGAAAGATAACTGGCTCTTAGGTGCACCGACACCTCTCTGTTGAAACTTCTAAATCATTATCCTTGACAGGCAGGCCTGAACTGACAGAAGGGATCATCCTGCCACATACTCTGAGTGAAGCCACGGTGACAAAGCTTCAAAGCCAGGTCCAGACCTGAGCTGTGCAGCATCACACACAGACAATGAGACAAAGAGGACAATGGCTGAAATTCCCCATCAGCATTCCTTTCATTCTCAACCTTCAGCACCAAAGATCCTCCATTTCCAAAACAAACTCAGGTCTTAAAGCCTTTAAAATTATCCTTTCTGGACCATTAATGTCTTCACAACAATGATTTTAAAAAAGGTATGGAAAAAATGCTAATGGTAACTCAAACTGTTGTATTCCTCACCACCTCCTTAACTGTAGGAGTGAACTTAAACTTGGTCAAAGAGTTACAATTTTTTTTTTTTAACCTAATTTTCTCTGTAAAATACTCACAGCTGTGTCCCATGGCTTTGTAGTCATTCTCTTCTTCGTCCTCATCCTCTTCCTCAGAGTCCTCCTCTTCAGACTCCTCCTCATCGTCTTCTTCATCAGAGTCTTGCTTATAGTTCCTGCAATGGAGAGCTTGCCTTTAAAGACAGCTGATGAAGTATAGGGCAGACACATCTGGGCTTTAGTTACACTGGTTGATCCGCTGCTCTGTTTGTGGAGCACCCTGAAGAGGGTCTCCCCTTTCACTATATCCAGCTACCACACCATCAGTGGGGTGTGCGATTACTGATCACATGATAGAAAACTAATAAAATAAACAATGTGTTTGTTAGACTATGTCCTAACCAGCTGTTTCTCAGCAACTGTACAGACAGGTTAGCATTAGGGACTGGGGCACAGGAGAGATGCTTTCTGTAGTCACTAACTGTCTGAATACTTTGATGTATATTTAAGGTGTATGTCAGCTGAAACCAGGAATTCCTTTAGCCTTTATTTATATTTTGGTTATCTTTTTCCTCCATGAATGTGGTAGTGGTAGGGTCTGTGCAAGATGGGCACTTTCAGTTATATTTTAGTCTCCTTTTGTTTTGAACTCTTTAGGGATCAGCTTATTTAAAGAGTGGAGGACAGTTACCTTACGCGGGAGCCACGTCTGGCCACAGTCGGCTGGCAGGCTGGGCACAGCCACTCTCCATTGGGAACCCGGTAGAGAGCCGGTCGCAGGCAGAACAAGTGGAAAGCCTTGTTGCACTCATCACAGAGTATAAGTTTCTCATCATCACCTGGAAGAGATCAGCATCAACCATAAGGCCTTTTCTTTTTAATTTTAAAGCCTTAAGTTTTATTCTGGGTCTTTTTAGCAGCCCCACATATTTCCACCTCAACTCCTTTTGCTTTTCCTGACCTTCAGTGTATCAACAGCTCAGCAAATCTCTCACATGTTTTCTACTGTCATCTTATCACTACAGGTTCACCTGTCGGCCTGCGGAGTGGTTGGCTCCGTATGTAGATCTGCCTGACACTACTACTCTGATGTGCTTTGACCCTGCAGTTGCTGCCCTGCCTGGATCTACACTCCTCCAACTTCAGCACAGATGGGTTCTCCCAGAGCACTAGACAGGAGGGCAGAATATCATTTGGCAAGTGCAAAATGCTTCACTTTAACCTTTATGAAGTTTACATGCAAATTAACACCATAATAATCTGGCAAATTCAGAGTGAAACTAGATAATAGTGCAGTTTTTGTTGTCCTCTCTGGAATTTGAACTGTGCGTAATCAATAATGCTCCCATCAGCTGCAAATAACTGGTGATGTGCGTTCTCCCACACAGAGCGGGGCAACCGTGGAAAACATTTCTAACCTTTCCTGCGACAGACTTTGCAGCGAGCGTTCTCAGCAGACATGTCCCACTTTATGCAAGCGTCCAACATTCCCAGCAGCACGTGCATGCGGGAAAATGTCTGGGCCTCTCGAATAGCGGTCTTCCACTTCTCCACTGCTGTTGCTACCTGTGAGGAGAAGTAAACATTGAAAATTAATTAATTGGTTTTGGGGGGTTTTCAACATTTTTTACTTTATTATTTGTTTTAAATAGCAAAAATCAGAATTTCAGTTTCAAATGAATAAAACTTGACCCTGATTTGGCTCCATACTGCTTTAGCATCAGAGTGCTAACAGTTCATCTCTTTCCTCTTACCCTGGCCTCTTCTGCCAACCGCTTCTCCTCATCCACCTCTTCAGCCTTGCTGCTTTCCTCTCCTGCTTGCTTCTTCTTCTTCTTCTGCTTAGGAGCCATGAACCCCTGCAGGAACTTTTTGATTACACAGGCCTGAATGGTGATGATACACTCGCCGAAGTCTTTCAGGCTCTCCATGTCTTTCAACTGTGACAAGAGGATGAAGCAGACAGAGAATTTCAATTCAAAACACAGACGGTATGCCCAGTAAAGTCACAAAACTTCCCCGATGGGTGCTTCATGAGGAAAGAGCATCTCTCTAGACCAGTTAAACATCTAAGTACAAATGTTTCATGGAGATCATACTCCCTTAAAATTTACAAAGCATACAGAAAGTAATATTTCTTGTTAAATCAGCTCCTCTATATTACAAGTAATCTGTTTAGAAAAAAGGTTAAGGACAGCCTGATGCGTTTTAAGAAAAATAAGCACAATTTCAACAATATCAGGTTTCCAACCTGCAGTGAGTCCCAAAGTCTTCACATGCAGAGTTTTGGTAACTAAACTAAAAACAGTATTTTACATCTTTATGATTGAAATAATTTGTGTTTTTAGAAGGACATTTACACTTTTGTGCTGTAGGCCCACACTGGCATCGCCACACCAGGTTTGGCAGTGAATTTTACTGAAAAATTTGAGCAATTAAAAATGACCAAGCATTTCTTACACCCTGGAAAGCCAATCAGTGGGCTGTTCTGACCCCACATTTGTTTACACCGTGGCTTTTAATACTTACACTAAACATTTCAGAGCCTAACTGTGTACTTGGTTCTACCATATATGCCTTCCACACTGAACATGATTTCAAAACATCTGTTTTCTTGCACTAGTTATCTGTCTAATCAACCACTATGTCCCATGCCCATTGCCTGATAGCCTGAACAAACACTCTGACTACATGCTGTGCCCTTTTAGTAGAATTTAAACACAGATTTTCACTAAAGACTGGGAAGAGTCTCATTTTCAAACTGTCTGACTATTCACCTTGTCCTCAATGTCCACGTTATCGTCCAGGTACCCGAGGCCGCCCTTCTGCAGGCGTGAGGCTACTTCCTGGATGTCGCTACGCAGATATTTGAGTAGCTCTGCATAGCCGTCACAGGTCCTGAGGCCGAGCCTGGCTTTCCGGGTCAAATGGATGGAGTGGAGTATTTCCTGATACCTGACACAGTGAGAGGTATTTTACATTATCACCACTGCCACCATAAAAATCATAGACATGAACTACAGATGAAAAAATAAAACAAAAAAAACAAACCTGAACTTTGCAGTTTTATATGGGTTAAAACAATCTCTTATAATACTGCATTCACCTGCTTTGTATATTTGACTTTAGTTCGCTCTCTCTGACCCCCTGAGAATGAAGACTCTCCACCAGTTCCTCCAGCTCAGCTGAACTGTCACATATGAACCTGAAATCAGAAGTGAAAATGAGGAGAAGATCAATTAAACAAAAAGGATAAAATGCATCAAATGAAAGTGAAAAAGGAAAATAAGGACAGACATAGACACCTACCAAAGGTTCTGTCCCTGTTTGGGAACAGTAGTTTCTATACAAACATCTGGTGCTGCTCCCTGCTGGGCTCCTTCACTAACAGCACCGTCTACACTGCCATCATCTTTTTCAGTTCCTGCAACATAAATAATAATTTAGTGTCTCGAGATAAAGCCATGTGTGGAAATTTGTTCCTCAAAAACACACATTAACTACCAATTATGTGCAAACAAGCCTGCACACAGAGCAAACAAAACCAGACAGAAACAACTGGAAGAAAAAAATAATAATTCTATATCAGTTAATAAAAATATTTGCATTATTAGATCTAAAGAAAAACAAACATTTTTCAAGAGAATGTATTTTTGCTTACCTTGTGAATCAGGAGCAGGGGCTGCCTCACCGTCCTCCTCCTCTTCTACCTCAGGCTCAGCTGGTTTTTCCTCTGGTGGAGGGGTGAAGCTGTAGTCTATGCTTTCGTGCACCCAGCCTTTCTCGATGTACAGACCAGGAACCACATCAGAGAAAAGCCAGAATCTGCACAAAAACATCACGTATGGTTACAATTTACCAAAGTGCTTCGGGTAAATATGTTGTTAGTCTTTTAATTTTGAAAGACTAAGAAACAGGTAAAATGTCCAGAAATTTTGTGATACCCATTAATTTATGACATTTACAATACATCCCTGACTAGGGATGTTCCTGGGGACTAAATTCTTATTCCCTAACCTGACTAATGCACTATTCTAACACTGAGAAGCAATCAGATAAAGTCACATTTGAGACCAGTTTAATGAACAATGTCAGAAGCTCCCTAAAAAGGCATTTGAAAAAAATAATTATTAGTACTTTGCCAACTTAACCTCTGAAAAATGAATCAATTGCGACTGAATAGTGTGGCACATTTTGAATCATTCATAGTGTACAGCACATTCATTTACAAATACAACCCGCGCTATAAAAATTTAAATAAAAAAATAAAATCATAAAACAATCAGTCATCCATCAATTTTTTCCAGACTTCTGTCCCCAGCCACCTCCCTCAGCTTAACTGGGCATAAACCGAGAATACCGAGGCGTTCCGGGGACAAACAAGAGATGCAATCTCTACAGCATGTCCTCAGTCTACCAGGGTCTTTGTTCTGGCAGGACACGCCCAGAACACCACACCAAGGAAGCAACCACCTCTGCTGGCTCAGTTCAATGTGGCAGAGATATAGTTCTACTCTGAGTCGCTCCCAAATGGCTCCTCACTCTATCACTAAGGCAGAGCCCATCTGTCCTTCAAAGAAGTCTCATTTCCATTGTTTGTATCTGCAACTCATTCTTTCACCTTCAAAATAACTAACAATAATATGCTTTAAATAAAAAAAGATCAGGCTTAGATTATTTGATTTGTCTTCAATGATGTCAGGCTTGCAGCGCCATCTAGGGCAAACAGCTGCATGACATTTAGGACACAGCACTTTACCTGTAAACAGTTTCAATTAAATTAATGACTGGTATATCTGGTGCAGACGATTTCATCTGTGAGCAGACATGATGTTTTGGCACACTGAGTTAATTCCTCGTGTTAAGTACCAACCTGTTGTGATTTCTGTCGGTACCTAGAGGAGTCCTGCGCATCACTTGTCTCGCTTTGGTTATTCCATCCTGAAAAGCCCTCTCTGCAGCCGCCCTCTGTTTACGCATCCGCTCCTCTTCAGCCTCCTTCTCCATGCGTTCTAAAAGGAATAATAGTAACCAAAAATAAATAAAGCATACTATGTAATGAATCAAAGTTATAATTAGTATCAATCTTGCTTAAAAACTGTACCTTTGTTCTGTCTGTCCATCTCCTCCTTCTCCTTCTTAGCCTGCATGGCCATTAGTCGCCGGCTCTTCACTGAGCTGATCATGTCCTCTGGTTCTGGCTCAACCTTTACTTCCTTCTTGACCTCCTTTTTAGAAGACCCTTCTTTTTTCTTCTCACCTTTAACCGCATGCAAAACACAAATATGTTAATACAAACAGACACGTGTTGTGCGAGACTTCAAATACACACTAGACTTGAAAGGCATCTACTTTCTCTGACAATTCTTAGGGTAAAATGTAGATGCACAGTTTAGAAACTGTGTGTAAAGTACACATTTGATTCACAGCAATATATTGAGACTGGTAAAACTGATGATCCCTCCTACCTTTGTTCTCCATCTCCTTCCGCCTCTTCTTCTCAGCCCTCTTGCGGTCATTGGCCTCTTTCAGCATTGCCAAACGCTCCTTCCACAGCTCAGCTGACCGCTGCTGCATTGCATCAACATGGTCTTCCACAGAGTACGTCATCAGGATCCGGTGGCACAGCGCCACTAACAGGGTGACTTTCTCCTCGGGGCTCAGCTCAAACACCTCGGTTGTCTCGAGTTTATCCAGGAACTCGCTGGTCACCACATCGTCATATCCACCCATGGCCCCAGAGTCTTCTGAGCCCTGGCCGCTCTCCTCACCATGAGCGTCACATGGTCGCAGGCACAACCGTGCCAGCTCGGAAGCTGAGTGCATAGTCAGAGGAATCTCAGATAAGGGCATGTCGAGCTCACTGTAGCCCTCAGCCAGCTCATCCTGCAGTAATGTTTGGAGCAGCACCACCAGCACACGGTTTAGATAAAGGAAGCCAGACCGTTCCCCAGCTAGCGCTTCCATCAGAGCCGCTGCTGTGATGGGATACTGGTCATTTGGCATCAGCAGCCCTGAGTAACAGTGAAGGAAGTCCACAACCATGGCCACATTCCCAAACAATGTGTTGGGCAACCCCTCAGGCATGTCCACAAGCTTGAATGCAGGCAGAGGCTTGCCACCTTCGATCTCCTGATCTTCGTATCGGCGCGACTGTTCACGGCGGACCAGCATCTCCTTCTCTCGTCTCTCCTTGGCCTTTTCTCTTAACTTCTCTTTGAGTTCCTCACGCCTCTTCTTCATCTCTTCCTTCTTTTCCTCTTCACTCATGGCTGCCCATCGCTTCTTCTGCTCCAGAAGCTCCCAGCGTTTCTGCACTAGCTCCTTGAGTTCCTCTGGCAGGCGACTACGATCATCTGGGGACAAGGTCTTGGCAGCTTTGGAGATAAGGGATGAAAGGGAGTTCTTCTTATCCTCTTTACCCTTGTTCTCCTTGTAGTAACGAAGGAGGTGGAGAGCCATAGGGTGTAGTGGCTTCCCAAGTTTCGGTGTACCAATGCCAGAACTACGAGCTCTCTTCTTTGGGCTTCCTGCAGCACCGCTCTTAGCCAGATGCAGTAGAGTCATCTGCTTCATCTTTGGCCCCTTAGCACCAGCTTTACCGTCCTTTTTGGATGCTTTGAGAACATTGAGTTTCTTCTCACCACTCTTTCCAGTTTTCTTTCCTTCTTTTTTGTCCCCTGACTTTTTGCCAGATTTCGGAGTGGAGGGAGCGGAGCCTTTACCTTCTCCTTTCTTAGGGGTTCCTGAGTTCTTTACCTTGAGTGGAGAACCATTCATTTTTATTTTCTGAAATACAACCAAGGAACCATTAAACATAACAGTGACGTTTGAGGGATACCTCATAAATGAAATGACATTTCACCATGTACACACAAGCTGACTAACCTGCATGTGGCCCCAGATGGTGGGACTAAGGGGCATGCCTAAAGCATCTTTCTTCTTTTTCTTAGTCTTTTCTTCCTTCTCATTGCCCGAATCTTCTCCTGGAGTGTCAGCAGTCTTGAGCTTCTTGTTAGGCTTACCCTCTGGAGATGACAAGCTCTTGCGCTTCGTGGAGGGATTCTCTGCCAAGAACTTGAGATGTACACAGGAAGGTGAGTCAAGAACATGCAACACTTAAAAAACTGATTTAAATAATGAACAGCAAAATGAAATAACTAAACTTACCTTGTGTGGATCGAGAAGAAAGTCGTTGAATTTGCTGGGCAGGTTAAATTTTTTCACCAGTTCATCTTCAACCACCCAGGGAGCACTTTCTCCCATGCCCAGCCTTAGAGCATAGTGTCTGATGAAGTAGCGCATGATCTCCTTGGTTGGAGGACGCTCTGTTCTATAAAGACTGTCCGCTGGGACGTCACAGATCACCTATGACACATGTTGGAAATTTAGAGTCCAGTTTTTCTTAAAATCACCAAGTCTATTGTTCACAAGTATATGAACCTTAAGTATAACCTTTTATACTCTAAAAATAGAACACACTCCACACACCATTTCTTGAGTGATGATGTAAAAAAACAAAACAAACCTTGTCCTCATTGATGAGCTTTACATCATACTTATGAGGAAGGAATTTAGGCATTGCCCATTTCTTCCTCTCTTCTTTCATGGCAGTGGGTAGTTTCCTCGGAGAACGTCGTGCTCTGTCACCTAACAGGAAGCCAAATATCATATATTGAACAAATACTGTATAAATAAACAATTTTAACCTGCTTATCCAAGCAGCATGTTCTTAATTTTATCCACGATGCAAGATTTCGCCTCCTAAAACTGATTGGCACTCACTCAGACTCTCCCTCCTGTTCTCCTCTCGGGGAGGAGGCTCCTTCCTCTGGTTTTCCTGGCTTGCGTTCTCCTTGTCGCTGGATGGAGAGTCACAAGCACCTTCAAGTTTCTTTTCCCCAGACTCACCCTCTGTGTTTTCCAAGGGGTGGATCTTTACCACTGTCACTCGCAAACTTTTCTCCTTGCCCACCTGAAGCCAAGATGTAAGATTTGACATTATATGAGAAATTTTACACACACACTATAACTTTTAATGCAGTAAATTATCAGGTTACAAAAATAAAAAATACTGACAATATCATAAGATTGACATTACAGACAAGTTTAGAAATGTAATAAGAGTAAGCTGTCAAACTGACCAGGAAGTCGCACTCTTCACCCACAGCATATTTGGTGAGGATTTCCACCCAAGCCATCTCAACCAGTTTGTCTAAAGACACTGTGTTGTGGTGAACCATCTCAAGGACTGGTTTCTCAAACCACTTTGGATACTCCTCTTGAAGCCTGCACACGCACACACATGCACGCACACACACACACACGCACACACACACACATGCACGCACGCGCGCGCACACACACACAAAGTGATCAATGGTTAGTTTATAAAAAGGTAACAAGTGTGACACTGTCTTGCAGCTCCATCGTTCTCTGTTCACAGGGGTTGTGATGCTAACACAGAGTTCATCATCACATGATTTGTTTTACTTTGCTTAGATCTGCAGTGCAGAAATCAACCTGTGATAGACACACCATGACCCTGAACTGTAATAAGCAGAAGAAAATAGATGGATGGATTGTTTGCCGAGGGTTGCCAGTAGGGGGAGTAGTTTCTCTTGGCTGAAATAATTAGAGTGTAAATACTGTACAGCTCATGATCCCGACTTACTTCAGCTCTGGGCTGCTGAGCACTGCTCTTCCCAGTCTCTGCTGCGACATCTCTTTGGGCCATATTTATTTTTTTGTTATCTCTCTTGCTAAAAGGACATAGTGATCCCATATGTCAATACATATTTCAAGTCAAGTGGACCGAAAGAGATGAGTTGAACCATTTTATTATTTTCCATAGGTTCAAGATAAAGGAACTCAGGCCCTTGCAGATTCAAGGATGACTGAGTCACTCGCCCTCTAAATAGACTGAGAGGAGGAGCACAAGATTTATCCAATCATAGCAAAGCAGTAAGCCTTGTGACCTTCACTGGGGTTGTATGGTTCCCTTCTTTGTTGATACCATGAACTTCTGTTAGGTGACTACTGTGTATTTCTTGCACAGTCCTTCCACATAAGTAGGTGTGGTTTTTACAATCAGCGATTTATGCAAACCAGGTTTTACTGGACATCTGAATACAAAGGGCAGGACCTAAAGAATTGAATCTATGCATTTTCACTCACTCAACAGCCTTTATTAAAAGTGCATACTCTGTTTGGTCTGAAATCAGCATAGTAGACCAACAGAGCTTTCACAAGTTAACATGGAATAATGAATGTGCACGTGCAACACTGTGGATGTAATACTAACAGTTCGGTGACTTCTTGTTCCTCCTCCCATGCCTCTTTGTGAGTGAGCTGGCTGCTTCCAGTGCTCTTGCATGTCCAAATGCGTTCATTATATCTCTGTAGGCGGGCCTCGTACTCTCTGTGTACATTCGGTCAAGGAAGTTACATCATCCAAATGTTTTCCTATTTAGGGTTTTGTTTACGCACAACAAGCAAGATGCAAGTCAATAAAATTCCATCATGACATTTAACATCACTGAGCATAATGAGAGGTAAAGAGACCCAGCATAAACACATTTCAAAACAAATCATCTGTGAATAGTCCTGTCCTAACAAGACAAGGAGAGGGTTAGGGACGGGAATGAATAATGATTTCAGAGAAAGTCAGAAAGATCAGTTGGATGCTGTGTAATGGAGTATACTACATTTCCATGGGTACTCTAACAACATACCAAGTCAAATTCCCATAGATGGGACTGTTTGACAGCGTAGTGGTTCACAAAGCTTTATTAAGACAATAAAAATGGATAACAGAGTTTAGACACCCGCATAAAGTCAAATATCATAATCGATTGTCCATATCAGCATATTATGGACACTTAACACTAGCTACGTGTGCCACAGCAGGTTTCATAACCTTGCTGACAGTCGTGGACCTTTAAGAGCTTAAAGCGTTCATGTGAACGTTTTAACAACGTGGTAAAGTTCTCCAATTGTGACACCAGAAGAAACCAAGCTAACAACAAAATGCTGTCATAAGTCACTGAACACCTTTCAGTCTGCCCAAAATACGAAAGTAAGTTAAAGCGAAACGGACTCTGAGACTCTTCTGTGCTAGCATTACCAGCTAACACATTACCAGCCGGGGAGCGGCGTCAGTCTGGGCTATTGTGACATAATGGGATACCTAACGTTAGCAACTGGCTAGCTCACCCTGTTAGCATTGCCAGCAGAACCGTAAAACATGAAAGTGAAAGACTCCTTTTCGCCCTTCTCTACAATGACGTGCTATTTACAGTCATATATTTAGCTCGGTTAGGTAAAAAGCTAACTAATAGGTAAAATTATTTAATTACCAGAAACAGCGGAGTGTTAGCTAGCCAGCCTGTCAACCCAGAGTAAACTGTGTACATGCGGGGAAACACTTAACGGGGAGAAATGTCAGGTCAAATTCCTTGCTTTAGCCAGCTTTATAGCGTTCTACTCGTGACTATGAGCACATCAGTTCAGCTAACCAAGACAAAGCCCGCTATCCAGTCTATCGACTGGCTCGATAAGTCGAGACTGATAACCAGCATCATGTTAAAGGATACTCTTTGTTCCTGAAGGCCTCCTTGGTGTGCTCGATGATGTAGACCTCCTCTCCCGGGCCTGGTGGCTCGGCTAGCGGCTTAGCCAGCGGGTATGGTTTCCGGCCCAAAAGCGGTGCCATTTCAAATCCAGAGATGGCACAAGTGCCGAAAGTAAAAACAGATATTCTAGCAACAGACTAGCGCAATAGTACACAATGGTATGTCCTTTGCATGTATCCCAGTATTAAAAATGTCAGAGCCGACAGATAGCACGTCTCACGTTACCGCCGGCAGGCCCGGCTCTCAGCGTGTAGCAGCTAGCTTTCTAGCTAGCAGGCTGGGTTATCTCGTTGCAAAACAATAACAGTGCGCCGCTTCTCGCCGCCGGACTCATCGCACCATCCTTTGCTCTTCTGGAAGTGGTGTCAGGCTATTTTTTACGCTGCACCTTAGGTAGAAAACACGCTGGCAAACGTGTCCCCGGACTCCGTTGTTAAAGTTCAGCACCTTCGGGTGAACGTGAAAGGATGCGAACCGCACCAAAATGAAACTCACGGCAACCGTCAGTCAACAGCAGGTCTGGCGGCTGTACAGTCCCGAGCAAGTGTTCGCAAATTAGGCCTGCTCCCTTTCAAACTGTACTCGCTGCATGCTCTGAAGCTCCTTGGCATCAGGTAACAGCGTGAGCAAGCGTTGCGAGAAAGTAACCTGAATCAGCTAAGAGGAGGTTAATTCCCTGTCGAAATGGCGGGAGTTTTCAGTCCACCGGCACTGTGCCTCATACCCTCAGAACTCTGTTTCCCCGGTAGCAAGCAGCGTCGCGCGCATGTCCCGCCCCCTCTTCGCTTTCACTGGCTGTCTCGCTGAAGCGCCATCGTCAAATTTGCCTGCAGGTTTCTCAGTGGTTGAATTGTCCTGTCTATTCTCAGTCTTTTCCGATAAACCACGCCCTCATATAATATACATGAGGCAAGAGGGTCAGCTGATGACAATAAAAATTATATAAACCGTTCAAATCAGCACTCTTAAATCATATTTCAATAGACTGAACATGGGTTTTGTCGATATCTAACGAGGAGCTGTCTTGTTCAGTTATCGAATTAATTTTTAAAACCATTGTCTGGACTCCATTTTGAATATGCTGATTAAACAATAGGTTACCCACTACTGGGAATCCTCATGGTGTATAAATCCTAACTTAGCAGGATCTTCTTCGTCTTCAGCTGCTTCCTTTAGGGGTCGCCACAGTTAACCATCTCCCCCGATTTCTAGCATACTGCTCTGTGAAGCCAGCCCCTCTGTATGCCCTCCTTAATTACACAAAACTTACTCTGTGCTCTTCCTCTTTTCCTCCTGCCTGGCTGCTCCATGTTAAACATACATTATTCAGTTTATTTACTGTCTTCTCTGCATTTCCAAACTGTCTCAGTTTTGACTTTCTAACTTTCTAAATGCTCAGCCTGTCCACGCTGTTCACCCCCAGCGACAATCTGAGCATCTTCTGCTCTGCCACCTTTTGTTAAAATGTATTTTGTTAGAGCCACCATCTCCAAACCATACTTCAGTGAGTTAAAATGAACAGTCGCATTTATTATGATTTACAAAATGTGTTCAGTTATAAACATGGGCAAATAATATATATGTTATAAAATAAAACAAATTTCCCACGTGTGGGACTAATAAAGGTTATCTTATCTTATCTTAAAAATCATATTCTTGCATGTGATAAGCCAAAAGAAGCTTCTTCTTTTTTTAAAGGAGGGCACTGTATTTAATACACAATGGCACATCTAAAAACAGCAATTTGCATAAAGCTTCACAAATAACACCTTTTCAAAATCGCCAATAAACCTTCAGAATAAAGCAACAGCATATGGAAACATGCATAATTTCAGCTGCGGCTACCAGGAAAATCAGACAGTTACGGCAACTGCATGAAAATACACAAAGCCTGCGAAATACAGTTCAAAATGCTCCCCCCGTCCTTTTCAAGATGAAAAACGAAACACAGCATGACTTCAAATATTAATTAAAGTAGGGGGAAAATAGAAGATTTTGCAGTTAATACACATTTTCTTAAAAGCTGAATTTAAAATAAGCAATATTTGCGTAAATATATGAAGAGATCCAGAATAATTGTCAAAGCTTTGCTAATCTCACAACAACTGAGGACGTGTTTTGTGTGTATTTTGACAAAACGATCATAAATAAGCTATCTCAGAACAGCGTTCTCTCCTGTGCAAATCTTCTTTAAGGGAGGTGCTCCTGATTCATCCAGTTCCTCCTGTTCAATGAAAAGAAACACATTTAATTAGACTGCAATAATTTTAGGAATGATTTAACAAAGGAACATGCTTTTTGGTCTTCTTTGAGCTCATTTTTAACGCAGTGAACCTGGGTGTCTGGGGTGCTCCGTCTGACAGTTCCTGATGATAGAAGGTCCTCCTTGATGAGAGTGGGTGGCTCATCTGTGCCCTCCTGTCCTGAGTGAACTGGCTCTGCATCATCAAGGAGGCAGCGAGATTATATACTGATTATCGAAGCTTTCGCACCGTCACAACAAATGTGATGCAGTGCATGTTATCCACATACCATCCACGCTCTCCTGGCCGAGCATTGGAGGCTGGGAGTCTTCAGCTCGCAGGCTGGAGGCATGAGGAGGGCTGACCTGCTGCGAGCTGGAGGTGCTGCTGCTGTTATCCATTTTAGGCTGGTAAACGTCCGACAGGAAGCTCTGGTTGCTGTTTTCATCTGGCGTAGAGAGGAAGGGAAAGGCACGGAACATGAGGTTACAGCTTTTACAGCATTTTTGAAATATATATTACTGTGCATTAGTCTCGAGCAACCTCTCATTTCTTCATGAAATGAGCAATAGGTCCAGTGAATTACTGTGACGTGCAAACATACATGAAACTGCAACTGAATATTTGGTATGACCACCTTTAGAGCAGTACTGTTACTAATTTCTTTTAGATTGTTGTTTTAATTTAGACAGCATTAAGTACAAAACAAGTCAGCAAACCTTTTAAAAATTATTTTTAAAAGCCTTCAAACATACCAGTAAAATCCAGTAGAGAGTTGGTGTTTTCCAGGACCACATCTTTCAAGCCTCTAACTTCTCCACCGGTGGATTTGGTGCGATATATCTGACAATGGAAGTGCAATTTGTCAGTTTCAAGAAATGTGAGCAAAATAAGGTTATTAAAAAAATAAGCTACACATGACAAAAGGCCCACACCTGCTTTGTTTCCGTCACTGGCACCCACTTGAATATACGTAAAGACGTGTCACCAACTGTCACCCATTTCTTCTCCCTGGGGATGTGATTAGTTTGATTACATTGAGACAGGAGCTCAGGAAACACCTTCCGCTTTCACCTGGTCTACAGCCTCAGTCTCTAACATGACATGCAGCATACACGCTCACGTTATCTCTCTGCAACAGCACACAATGGACAGCTGCACAAATATCACAATGTGCCCACTAACAGGCATCGCTCACAGTGCAGGAGAGGGTTAAAACCCCCGGGGAAACGTCCGCGGGTGTTTATGAATTACACTGTAATTAGACTAACGGGACAGCGAGCCGGAATTAGCCGCGCTCCGCATGTCAGGCTGAAGCCATATTGACAGCTCTCGGCGGAAAAACTCAGCTAGCCCCGCCCCCTCTGTCAAACTGGAGCACGGGTTGGTCGGCGTCTCCGTCAATCATCTAACTTTTCCGACTGAAGTTTGTTGTGCGACGCAGCAGATATCGGGCTTCGGTCTACTAATACCTTTCCCTCCATATTGTCCCCCCGCGGATCGCTTACGTACCATTTGCGCACTTTCTCGATGGCCGCTAGCACCTTTTTGATGTCGTCTTTAGCCCGACTTCGCGTCTCAGCGCGGCCCGATCGTCCCGACATCTTGATGCTGTTATGATTCATCTACAGATGCATCTGAAAACTTCAAGACCAAGCCCCAGTCCTCCGTTACACTGGTAATCTCGCGAGATTCATTCGTCACATTTTTTTCTCCCTTTTTTGTCAGCTTCATTCTGACACCTTATGTTCACACTATATATATATATATATAATGTGCTGTAAAGACAGGCTGGGCACGTTTGATTTTATTCGTCTTTTTTGTCCATTATCCATCCCTTCTGACTATAGTGGGGGTTTCTATTTAATGTACAGTTTATTCAAATGCTGTACTTAATGACAGCTTTGAAGGCTGTAAAATGAGACGTGGGGATTTTGTTTTCACATTAAAAAAGGCATTCTCCTAAAAAAATGAAAAATAAACCCAATATGTTGTGGGGTTGTCCCCCTGTGCAGAGCCCCTGTCACCTTTAAAGCGAGTTGTTAGCAGCTCTACTCAAAACTACACTGCTGTGCAAAAGTCTTATTTCTTTATATTTTGCTTCCAAGCAGCCAGACTTTCTTGTCAATTTTTACCAGTGGTCTTTAGGAATAGCTCTCCAAGCTTTCCGAAGATCTTTCAAGCTCGTTGGGAATCAGCTATTAGGTCCAAACTGTGCACTTAAAAAAAATGGAGGAAACTGGAGAAGTGGAAGCCACCACCTAGGATCTAATGTTCGCTGGAGCCTCATCAGACATGGTCTCAGTGGAAGGGTGGTTGCTATGAGGGGAAACAGGGAGAAGTATCAAAACCATTGTCTGATTTTGATCCACCATATGTAGCACCTGGAAAACATCTGATTGGCAAAGGCTACCTATTTCAGCATGACAATGAGCCCAAACACACAGCCAACAAAGAAAAAGCATGCCTGTATAGAAAATCACACCGCGGAATGCTATGAGTCATGGATTGGCCTCCCCAGAGCCCGGATCTCAACGTTACTGAAGGAGTGTGGGATCATTGTTAGAGAGGATGGAACAAAAGTCAGCCAACATCCAAATAAGAGCTTTGAATGTCCTTCAAGAAGCCTGGAGAACTATTCCGGAAAACCACTTAGAGAAATTATAAGAAAGCTTGTCTAAGAGAGTTTAAAGTTCACATATTGACTTTTAAGCTCATTAGATTTGTACAAACTGTGTTAACAATACAAATTAAAAACAAAGCAAATAAAATCCTCTCAGAACATCTTGGATCCACTGCAGTAAATAATTACGTTTATAGTGCATAAAGCTCTTTTCTTTGCTTTTGTATTGATTTTTGTATGTACTTGTTCCCACATGTAATCAACAGAGGGCAGCTTTGAGTCAGGCATTAGCAGACCTGCTCCTCCCGGCCCTCAGGGGACACAGAGCAAAGGTTGTCAGTGTGTTGATTTATTGCTGAGATAGGAAGGAATCACTGACAGGAAATTATCCTTTGTTTGCTTTGCTTGTCATCTGCAGATAGTAAAGGAGCAGAAGCAGGGCCAGCTTCTCTTTAAGCAACTTGTTTTCACTCTGCCAAGAATGAAACTAGAAACATTGTGACAATATTGTCAAGTAATGTGAATATTTTATTTATTTATGCAAGTTTGTTAACACTATCATCTTTTTAGTAAGAATGAACATAAATAGATTAAAGCCCTTTTTTCAGTTAACATCAGATCAGTGACTGAGAGAGTTACAATAAACTGGATGCTGCCTAGAAAAAATAATCTCAGCGATGAAAAATCTGTATCTTAGTCTCAGACTAAACATTTCTGTGGCGTATGTTTCCAGAATCATCACATTGAATATTTTCTTTTAGTGTTTCTATATCTGTTTGACAGGACACGATAAGACAGCTGAATGTGGGGAAGGCCACAGAAAAAGAAAAATGTCAACATATTAACTGATGGCGTGGGCGGGGACTGCTAGAGCTTCAGCCAGTGGCTGACAACACAGGGAGGAGTCCCAAGGCCGTTAC